ACCCCATGCTCAAGAACTAGAAGATCCAATATTGTTAAAAATGCCTATACTACCCAAAGTGATTGACAGATTCAATGCAATTCCCATCCAAATACCAATGTTATTTATCACAGAATCAGAAAAACTACTCTAAATTTCATATCGAATCAAAAAAGAGCCCCAATAGCCAAAGCAATCCTGAACAAAAAGAACAAATCTGGAGGCATCACATCACCTGACTTCAAATTATACTTCGAGGGTATAGTAACCAACACATCATGGTGCTGGGATAAACATAGACACATAGTAACAGAGAATCCAGAAATAAAGCCATACACCTACAACCAGCTGATCACACCTACAACAAAGCAGACAAAAACAGACAGTGGTGAAAGGACCCGCTGTTAGACAAATGGTGCTGAAAAAATTGGATAGCCATATGCAGACGAATGAAACAGGACACCTACTCTTATCACACACACAAAAAATTAACTCAAGATGAATTAAGATTTTTAAATGTAAGATATGATGCCATAAAAATTCCCTAGAAGAAAACTTAAGAAAAAAATCCTGGCTTGGTGCCTGTGGCTCAAGTGGCTAAGGCACCAGCCACATACACCTGAGCTGCCAGGTTCAAATCCAGCTTGGGCCCCCAAACAATAATGATGGCTGCAACCAAAAAAAAAAAAAAAAAAAAAATAGCTGGGTGTTGCGGCAGGCACCTGTAGTCCCAGCTACTTGGGAGGCAGAGGCAGGAGAATCACTTGAACCCAGGAGTTGGAGGTTGCTGCGAGCTGTGATGCTATAGCACTCTACCCAGGGGGACAGCTTGAGGCGCTCTCTCTAAAAAAAAAAAAAAAAAAATCCTCTAGACATTGGTCTAGGCAAAGAATTTGTGACAAAGACCCCCAAAGCAAATTAAAAACAAATAAATAAGGCCAAATTAAACTTAAAAGCCTTTGCACAGCAAAGAAATAATCAACAGAGTAAAAAGAAATCCTAAAGAATGGGAGAAGATATTCACAAACTACATACCGGACAAAGGAGACTAATATACATACTCTATAAGGAATTCAAACAAATCAGCAAGACAAAGGAAAAAAATATAACCCCATTAAAAAGCAGGCAACAGACATGAAGAGAAGCTTTTCAGAAGAAAGACAAATGGCGAAAATAAACAAATGAGAAACTGCTCAATGTCACTAATCAGGAGGGAAGTGCAAATTGAAACCACAATGAGATACCACTGTACCCTGTCAGAATGACCATTATTAGAACTTTAAAAAAAAAAATAGATGTTGGCAGGGACATGGTAAAAAGGAATTATATGTACACACTGTAAATTAGTACAACAACTTCTTTGAAAAAGAATATGGAGATGTCTCAAAGAATTAAAAGTGCATCAACCTGGTGGTGCCTGTGGCTGAAGGAATAGGGCGCCGGCCCCATATGCCGGAGGTGGTGGGTTCAAACCTGGCCCCGGCCAAAAAAAAAAAAAAAGTACATTAATCAACCATTTAATCCAGCAATCCCATTGCTGAAGATTTTCCCAAAGGACATCTGCACTCATATGTTTATTGCAGCACAATTCACAGTTACAAAAATACAGAACCAACCTAAAATGCCACCAATTGATGAGTGGACAAAGAAAATGTGGTATTGGGCGGCACCTGTGGCTCAAAGGAGTAGGGCACTGGCCCCATATGTGGGAGGCGGTGGGTTCAAACCCAGCCCCAGCCAAAAACTTCTTAAAAAAAAAAAAAAGAAAATGTGGTATATAGAGATACTACTTAGCCACTAAAAAGTATGAAATAATGTCTTTTGCAGCAACTTGGATGGAAATGGAGAACATTATTTTAACTGAAGTAACCCACGAACAAAAAAACAAAATACCGCATGTTACAAAGAGATGGAATGGACATTAGGGACTCAGAGGGGGAGTGCAAGAGGAGGGTGTGAGATGAAGAATTATCTGTTGAGCACAAAGTATACTATTCAGGTGATGGATAAGTTAAAAGCCTGGACATCTCCACTATGCAATTTATTCATGCATCAATAAGCAACTTGTACCTGCTAAATCTACTTAATTAAAAAAAGAGAGAGAAAAGCACATAAGAATATACCACAGAGACAAAGGGCTAGCATCCAAATGCAACAGTTCAAGAAAAGTAGAACAGAGAAAAATGAAGAGAAATAAAACATTAACAAAATAATGTAAGAAATTTCTCAGAAATGAAAATGTTTCCAGCTGTGTAACAAATAAGTGATTTTTATTTACAATAAATTTTCCTTATGTTTGTAATAAATGACAATTCTTCCCACAAACACCTGTATTATCACATAACATCAATTTCAAAACACAAGGTACAAACACAACCTTCAAAGTGAAAATAAAATGTCACCAAAAAAGAAAATCAGAATGCTTTGGAGTTATCAACAGCAACATTTGAAGCAAGGAGACGAGGCATCTTCAAACTATGGCTCGTGGACCATATGCAGCCCACCTAGGATGGTTATCTGGTCCGCCAGGTGTTTTTGCTGCCGCTGCCTGTCCTACTTAGCAGCCGACTTATCCTGGGGCCCGCAGTCCAGCTCTCCAAAGGTCTGAGGGACAGTGAACTGGCCCCCTGTTTAAAAAGTTTGAGGACCCATGAACTAAGGGCTTAAAAATTGTGAAGAAAAATAATTTCCAAAATAGAATAACAACAATTTAAATGATGATGGTAGAACCATTTTGGATTCGGATGCTCTTAAAAATATCCACTTCCATATCTCAGGAGGAGATTGTGTTTCACCAGAAGGATGCAGTGAGTAAGAGAAGACAGGGAATACAGGAAACAGCTTCCAAGATAAAAGAAAGGTGAAAGAAGAAAACGAAACCGTCCCACTAACAGTCCCAAAAACCTAAGTGAAGAATTTACCTTCAAGTGCTCAAAGACGCAAAGGCTCATTGTCTCTCAAAAGGCCTGAACAAATAATTAATCCTCACAGATAATTTTTCAAGGACAATGAAGGGCTCAGGGTGAAACCTAACAGCTATGCTTTGGAAATGAGTTTGGCCCCACTAAAGCTCATGCAGAAATTTGATCCCCATTGTCTGAGGTGGGGCTTGGTAGGAGGTATGTGCATTCCAGGAGTGGGGGTGTCAGTGAATTCTTGCTCTTAGTTTCCTGTGGAGCCAGTTGTTGAAAAGGACGGGGTGCCTAGTGTGTCTCTGGTCTGGTTCCTCTCTCACCATGTGCTCTCTGCACACACACACACTCCCTCCGCCTTCCACCAGGCCTGGGAGCTCCCTGAAGCCCTCCCCAGGAGCAGATGCTGGTACCATGCGTCTTGCATAGCTGGCAACACTGTGAGCCAAACAAACCTCTTTTCTTTATAAATTACCCAACATCCGAAATTTCTGTACATCCAAGACGCAGAACAGTGAAAGGACATAAAGCAAAATCAGCGAAGAAAAAGAAACATGGGGCAAAGAAAGGCTGGAAAAGGGCAGTGTCTGTGGCTCAGAGGAGTAGGGTGCTGGCTATACTGGAGGTGGTGGGTTCAAAACCTGCCCCGGCCAAAAAAAAAAAAATTTAGAAAGTTTTTTTCCTAGGTATTTGTGTGATCATTTTAACTTAAAAAAACAAAACACTACTCACTAGTTATCATGGAAGATGACTGAAAGGTGCGAAGGACCACAGCAATCTAAGGGAGCTTGGAGATGGATCTAGAACCTCTAGAAGTTTCCATGTCTGTTTATGTTGTTTAAGGGTTTCTGCTGGTTCTTCGTCATGGTGTCATTTCCCTGTGGACTTGGTTATTGCTTTAGTCTGCATAAACATATACCAGAGGCTGAGTAATTTATAAAGAGGAGAGATTCGTTTGCCTCACAGTTCAGGAGGCTCTACAAGACGCATAGCTCCAGGATCTGCTTCTGGGGAGGGCTTCATGTCCACCAGATGAAATCCTAGGGAAACCGCGATGTAGCAAAGCCTAAGTTTACCCTTCACGCAGATTCGAGACAGGTGGCCTCGTTCCCATTCCCAGCAATATCGTCAACGCTGAAAACCTCCTATAGCCATATTCCTGCTTCCACTTAGGGAACAATGGATATTTTGTTAGCTAACTGAAGCAGAATGAAGTCCAATGATTAAAAACATACCCATAATAAAAATCTTTCATTTAGGCTACAAAATTAATGGCAAAATGAATGAACGTCCAGTAACATGGGCAGGGGAAAGCCGAGGGCCTCCATTTGAATGTCAACATTCCTACCCCTTTATCTTCCTCTATAACAAGTACAATCGAACGCATTGCGTCTTTTATTGTACGACCGCATTTTGGCTCAGGGTACACCTTTTAAAAACAGGCACAGCCAACCGGTGTTAACAAGAAGGTCTGGGTACAATTTCGGGGGAAAATTGTAAAGAGGAATGCCCAGCAGGGAAAGGGAGAAGTAAGGGAATGGGGTTTCAAGCCAGTGTTTTAAAATTATTTTCAGGACCCTGGTAAAGGATTACACTTCAATTTATTTAGTTGTAGACGCCGGAGCCAGTTACCGGTAGAAGGAACAGCAGGGGCAGCCGAGGGAACGCAGGGCCGCCCGCTCCTGCTCGCGGTCCCGCAGCGGGGGTCGCCTCACCTCCTGCCGGTGGCACTTCCCCATTTGGGACACTTCCTCAGAGCGCGGCAGGCGGTCCGCACTTCTACCTGCAATGCGAGAACCTTGTCATAATTAAACCCTTAAGAAAATAGCCTGGCGTCTATCCAAGTCTGGTGTTCACCTGGGGGTCACCTCTTGCCTGGGCCGCCTGGTCCCCGTGTCAGCAGGTCCTCCTCGGCTGGCGGCCTGCGCCCTACAGTGCGCACCCATCCCCTGAAGATTCTCTTCCCCAGCAGTTGCACGGCAAGGAAGGGGCCAGTGCCGCGGTCGCGGCGTCCGCAGACCCACCTTCGGTCCTCGGGCCGCCCTGTGTCCGGCCCTCGGAGCCCGGCGGGAGGGCGGAGCGCCCCGGCCCCGCGTCTGTTCCCTGTTCTCGGGGCGCACGGGCGCGGTCAGCGGGGCGGGCCGGGCCGGGCCGGGAGGAAGTGCGGGCCTCCTGCCCCGGCGCGCCGAGGAAGTTCCCCAAAATGAGGAAGCGGCACGGGCCGGGCAGCTGAGGCGACACCGGCGCGGGACAGCGACGAGGAGCGGCGGCCCCGCGCGCCCCGCCCTAGCCTCACCTGGCTCAGGTAGGTGTGGCCGCGTCGGTCCCCGCCGAGCTCCGGAAGCACTTTTTGGTTAGGAAAGGGGACCAGGAGGACGGGGCGCCGCGTGCAGGCTCTGCCAGGCACTTTTCATTCCGTGCCCAGACACCCCGCGCTGGGCAGGTAACCGCAGGGCCTTTTAAAATTGGAGGGAAAGCCACGGAACCGTTTGGGTAAAAAGAAGCACGTTCTGCCAGCTTCTCCCCTGAACCTACTGACGCTCGGCGTCCAGCTACTGCGCCAGGGGAGAGGGGCTGGAGCAAGGCGGAGCGGGGCGCAGAGGTCGGGACCACGTGGAGAGCGACGCTGGGACCCCGGTGGCCCTGGGCGCGGAGAGCGCGGCAGCCGCGGGGCCTGGGAGTCGCGAGCTGGGATCGGGCACAGAGAGAGAAACTCGGCCTGAACTAGAACATTTTCATTTGTCGGTTAGACGAATCCACTGGGAAATGCTTCTGTGTTTACCAAAGCGATCAGTGTAAAATTTCCATGTCCTCAAGGCTCTAAAATTCAGGGGTCCTCAAACTTTTTAAACAGGGGGCCAGTTCACTGTCCCTCAGACCGTTGGAGGGCCGGACTGTGGGCCCCAGGACCAGTCGGCTGCTAAGCAGGACAGGCAGCGGTGGCAAAAACACCCGGCGGGCCTGATAAAGGTCCTCGGCGGGCGGTAGTTTGAGGACGCCTGCTTACACACACCCTTTACTATAGAAAGAACTTAGTTACATAATGTGAAACGTTTGATACATTTTCATTGTAATTTACTTAGCCATTGAATGACTTGGAGAGCAAGAAAGTTTTACCTACTGTACATGTCAGCTAAGTGTTTTCGTTTGTTTTGTTTTTGGATTTTTGTTTGTGTGTTTGTTTTGGCAATATGGCTTCAAAGGATGGGAAACCTTTCCCTCAAGGCCCTACTGTTCTGCTAGGTCCTTTTGACTGAATCCAAACTTTACAAAACAAATCCTTTTATTAAAAAGGGTGCACCTAAAAAAGATGAAGCTTTTCCTGCCTCCTTTGGTGCTTAAAAAAGAACAATCTTGAAATCAGAAGGCCAGGTTCCCTACCCTTCTTCAAGGGCTAGAAAATCACTGAATCTTTTTTATGTTTGAAATACGGTTGCAAATTATTTCACGACTTTTGCCTGACTTCCCAAAGATTCAGCTGAACTCAAGTACGACTATTGGCTGAAGAGCTTTTCCTCTTTTCTGCTTCTTTTTTTTTTAACCCTTCAAGCATTTCAGTGCAGAAATGTGCCATATCTGAATCTTCATTAAAAAAAAAAAACTCAAATAATGCCTGAGAAGTCCTGAAAGGAGTGGAGTTGATTGTACCATCTGATTTCTTTGTTTTAGTAAGAACAAATCCATTGCTTTTGTACAGGCAGCATTTTAATTAAATGCAATTAAAGACATTGATGTGTCCTCTTTCCACCTGTGAAAGTCCAAAAGTACATGGGTATATTTATAGAAAAGTACATGGGTATATTTTTTTTTTTTTAAGAAAAAAAAATTAAGTTCTTGTAAAGTCTTAGGTGTTTTAGGTGAGAAATCTTGTCGGCTGAAATTATCAAATCATTTCGTTCTATCTTAATTTTCCTGTATTTAGAGAAAACTTGGATTGAAACAGAATTTTGATTTGTTATCCTAAATATGCTATAATATCCTAAGTATTTAAGGGGTACAACTGTTTTTGTTACATAGCTAGCTTTTGTCATGCTTGAGTCAGTACAGTAAGTCCCCACCTCCTAAGTGGTGTTCATTGCCTTAGGTTGAGTTTCTGCCTCTCTCCTGCTACCTCCTCCTCATGGCTTAATTTTCAGTGAGTTTTATTTCCCTTTGTTCACTTGTGTGCCCATTGTTTTAGTTCCAATTTATTAGAGGATACTTGTGTGTTTATTTTCACAGGATTTTGCAACAGTTTTAATTACCAGAATGTTTTAAATATTTTAAGCCAGAATAAAAATAGGGTGTATAGTTTAGGGCTTTGCTTTTTCTGAGAGAAGAAATTGTTGGAAAGATTATTTTATTGCTAGATTTAGAAACTTTAGAAACGAACCATCTTGGTCTTCTTTAAGCCCATTTTTAATATTCCAAATATTAAAGTCTAATCTCTCTGTATTTAAACCAAAGACTTCTGAGTAGAACTTCACTTACACAGCACATTATAAACCCACAGTCATTATACAAAAAGATATACATCAGAGAACTGTGTTACTAAATGAAGTTCCCTAAAACTTTTTTTTGAGACACAGTTCTCTGATGCCCTGGGTAGAGTGCTGTGCCATCATAGCTCACAGCAACCTCCAACTCTTGGACTCAAGTGATTCTCTTGTTTCATTCTCCTGAGTAGCTGGGACTATAGGCACCCACCCCAATGACTGGCTAGTTTTTCTCTTTTTAATAGAGCCAGGGTCTTGCTCTTGCTCAGGCTGGCCTTGAACTCCTAAGCTCAACTGATCTACGTGCCTTAGATTACAGGCGTGAGCCAACACCCCCTCCACCACCACCACAATTTAAAAAAAGATCTTGCTTTTTAAAGATGAGACTGAGAATGTGACTCCTCTCAACTATTTGCTTTTGAAAGGGAAGTGCGTTTCTATTGCTCAATTCCTCACACATTCCAGTAATAGATGAGCAGTACCTTCCTTTCTAGGAGTCTGAAGTAGCAAGATTTCACTCCATGTTCAATCATAGAGATCGTATAGATCCTTCAAGTAAGAGGGGCATGTTGCATCCTTTAGTGATATAATTTCAATAGCACAGTTTCTGAGTCTATGATTTCAGAGAAAGAGCAGTAGCTGTTCACAGAAGGGTTTACTGTAGTGTTTCAACTTTGCAGCTGCCGTTATCTCTGTCTGTTATCTATGCCTAAGGAATGGCAGGGCAGTTTTTAACATGCAAGCTAATTTTTACTCTCACAACTTTTACCGTATGGATTTTTCACCCATTACTCCGTTAACACCTCTTCTACCCTTGTTTTGCAGATTTTAACAGAACTCCAGGTTGGTTTAGTTTAGTTGTAATGAAGTAGAGGAAAAAATAGAAATTTAGGCCTTTGGGAAAGAATTTGTTTTAAATGTCTACACACTGAGCATTGTTTCCTGCTAAAGCAATTAAAAGTAAAAGACAGAGTTCTAATGAGAGATTCTAATCAAACTGCCTGATCGGCCTCTTATCCCCTTCCTTGAATTTGAACACTAAGAAAAAGATGAAGTTTTTCTACTGAGGGATTGTGGGGGAGATTTAAAAAAACATAAATCTGATTGGGTTTTAGGAAAGTCCATTCATTTTGAGATTGTGTTATAAGGGAAATTTTCTATGTGCTTATAATCTTATCCAAGAAAATATTAGTTTGTGTCAGTTTAATTTTTTTTGCCTTAGAAAGTCAATATTGTAAGTTTTGCCCTATGTCTCTTGAAAAGTGATTAAATCAGAATTTTAAATACAATAAAATTTAGTCATGGAAAGAAGAATATTTGTTTTATGTTACAGTGGGTTCAACAAATCAAAAGTGACCCTCTCAATTCTTTTCTTTCTCGGAAACCACATGTTTCTGAAGGCCGGCCAAAGTCACATGGTGGGTAGACAAAGCGAGGACAGGAAAATGAATTACTCCTGAAGAGAGAAAAAAAATAAAATAAAAGAAAGTGAGAGGGCCGTGCCTGTGGCTCAAAGGAGTAGGGTGCCTGCCCCATATACCAGAGGTGGCGGGTTCAAACCCAGCCCTGACCAAAAACTGCAAAAAAAAAAAAAAAAAACCAAAGAAAGTGAGGACAGTTGAGAATGTTAGTGATGACCTGGTTACTGAGGAGGGTAGGTGAGCTTTTGGTCATCTGCCAAAAGTATATCTCTCAATGAGGACCCTCTCTCTAACCCAGTGGTTCTCAACTTTCCTAATGCCTCGATGCATTTTCATTCTTACAAAGGGGTCGCGACCCACAGGTTGAGAACCGCTGGCTAACCCAAAGTGCTACCCACCACTGCTCTCTTAGAGCTCCAAGAGGGAGCAGGTTTGGGGCACATGGTGGGCTTCCAGCCTGGGGAGCTTAGTGACAGACATGTCTTGACTCACATGGAGCACACACAGACAGGCACTCGCAGGTCTACAGGGGAGGTGGGCTGGTGTGCAGGTGAGTGAGAGCCTACTCCTGCAAACGTTTATGGGGTGAGAGTGTGTATACAAGGAGAGGGCCCAGGGCAGAGATTCAGGGAAATTCATGATTTAAATATTGATTTACTTATGTGTACTCTGCCTAGCCATAAAAAGCATTTGAAAGTCCAGCATGGAACCTCCTATTTCTTCACTCCATTGGTGTGTCTTAACTGGTAAATCTTTATTCTGTCTTGGCCAGTCTGGTAGTTTATTGCATATATCAGTTCCTGTTGAGCTGACACGGAAGTGTTTTCAGGTGACTTGAGTTAATTTCTCTTTTCACTTAGTTTTCATTTATAATAAGTTTCACTTTTCTCGTCTGCTAGTACTGCTTCTCGAAAGGAAGCTTATCTTTTGAAGTCATTTTTCCTAGAATTCTCTACATTATTCCCTTATCGTGGGCCTGATTGCTAATTTGGGGGATGTATCAATTTCAGACACTGTCTGCTTCTTAGTCTGAGAACTAGGGACATGACAGTCTTATGTGCCACCTGTTACCTTCCATCCCCTCCCACACTGTCCCTCAGGGAACTCATTCCATAATTTGGGGTTAAGCAGTTATTTGATGTTGATTATGATTATGTAAGTTCAGTTTGCTGCTAAAGAAGGCATATAACTAAGTTTTCATTCTTCCATCTCCTTTTGCTTTTCCTGGGATAAACCCTTGTTTTGTTTCTGTGTTTTCTTAATTTGCTTTGTGCCAGTTATTTTCTTCGGCACTCTCTGACATAAACCTAAAACCCCTCTTGACACGGTTTTCCACAGAGTCAAATACACCAACTAATCTCTCAGTTCCATCTTTCTTTTTTTCTGGAACCCTCTGACTTCTCGTGTGA